GGAGAAGTGGTGCCTCAATGCGCACCCGGGATCCGAACCCGGGCCACCAGCATTGCAGCGCGCGCACTTAACCACCAAGCCACAGGGCCGGCCTGGGGGCACATTGTTGAACAAAACAGATCCATTCTGTGCTCTGAAAGTACTTACAGTCCAATGGGGAGATGCTGTCAATCAAAGAATCACACAAATAGTAGTAAACAAGCACCCTGATCATGTGGACGTTGTGCTGAGAGGGTAGTCAGGAGATTTAACCTAGTCAGGGAGGTCAGGGAAGGCTTCCATGAAGAAGTCATGATGGAGCTGGGATCTGATGGATGAACAGGCATTGACAAAGAAGGGGGAGGGAAGGTTCCAGAAGGAGAGAACAGCATGGGCAAAGTCTTTGTGGGGATGGTGCAAGGTGGAGAGAATGAGGGCAGATAGAGCTATGCCATGAGCTCCTTAGAGGCAGGACCGAGAGTCAAATTATTTAATGACCTAGCACGGGCCTGGGCATGGATCAGTGAGTGCTGATGCCCAGTCATGCTGGTGACAGTTTTTGCTTCTTCATCTTAAGAGCAATGAGAAGCAGGTTAATGCAGGGTGGGGATGTATGTGGCAGGAAGAAGGGTTGGCTTGATTCAATTTACAATTTGAAAAGCTTATTCTGGCTGCAGGATGCTCACACAAAGTCTGAAAGGAGTGAAATTGGAAGGATCTTTGAGTGAAAAAATTTGGATGGAGAAGGAAGCCCACGGTGTGGGTAGGCTTTATAGAGCATCAGATGGGGATTTGCAGCAGGAGAGGAAGGTTTGGCCTTTCATTTCAGGAGCCTTGGCTGCTCAGCTTGGCTTTCCATTCTTACCCCCTGTTCCACCATTTTTGGCTTCTGTGACCTCAAACCACCCTTCCGTGTTGCCAAACTACTGGTTGAAGGAAGGTGGGTGTGGAGCTCTAACAGGAGACAGAGGTTGCTAAGCACATCCCGGCCATGAGCAGAAACCTTCAGGGCATTCATAAAAATAAATCAAGCCCCACAGCAGCATTTTCTGTATCTTGGAGAATAGCTCCTGGCATTGAAGACAGACCTTTTCCATCAAAAAGGATGAATGAAAATCACATTTCTCTCTTTTTTCCCTCCAGCCTTATATTTGGCACCCTTTACCCTGCATATTATTCCTACAAAGCTGTGAAGTCGAAGGACATTAAAGAATATGTAAGTAGCACTTTTTTGGGGGGTGGAGGCTGATGGGGTTACGTGGGGGAAGCTGGGCGTGGAGGGAGAAGGCGGGCACTCTCTTTGGTGTGGGCACTGGTAACAAGGAGTCCGTTCTTCTCCTGAAACTTTCCTGGTGTGACCCAGGAGTCCTCTCCCCTGTCTAGACCTCCTCTTTAGAACTAGAGTGTAGAAGTGAGGAAAGCAGGGAGGTAGGGCAAGAGGAGGTGGCACCTGGAACCGGAGGCCCCCCCAGTCTGCCACTTGCCACTGTATGGCCTTGGACGAGTGACGTCACCTCTCTGAGCCTCAGTTTTCTTGTCTGGAAAACACTGTGTAGACCTTAAAGCACCATTACTGGCAGACAGTCTGGCCTTGGGGGCAGGAGCATGGGTCCTAGAGCCCAGCAGACCTGGTGCAGCTCTTGGCTCTGAAACTCTGGCTCTGATCCCCATTTCCAGTTCTGTGATTTGAACACCCCATGATTTAAGCCCTGTTGCTTTAGAAGCTTTAGAGGGCAGGAACTATTCATCATCCTGTAACTGTTTCCCACAGCACCTAGCACAGGGCTGAGCACGTGGGAAGGGGCTCTGGAGTGCTTGCTGGTTGGAGGACCATATTCCTGCTTCGGGTGCTGCAGTCATAGCCCTAGACGTGCTGGGCACCTCTAGGCAGGAGAACCATCAGACCACCCCCGACTGACAAAGACTTGCGGGGTGGTGGTGAGGAAAGGGTTCCCCTTCCCATGTGGGACAGACACCCTGGTCAAAGTACAAAGGATATGGATTTCGTCATCAAAAGACTGCAGTCAGGTCCTGACTCTATCATCTGATTGATGCAATGCTGCACAAGAAGCTTAACTTCCCAGAGTCTTGGTTCCCTAATCTGAGCAGTGGTGGATAGCAACAATCCTAGCCCCTAGTGTTGTGAGGGACAAAACGTCTTTGCTTTCTCTCTTTTACTCAGAAGATGTCACTTGGCAAGTTTGGCACAGGTAAAGAAATAATTGAAAGTGGGTTCGGTGAGTCATTATTTTCTTTTTCCCATTTCCCAGGGATGTCTTTATGACAAAACCAGCCACCAGAAACTGCAACCAGAACTCACCCCCCACTCTCAGTTTCCCAGAACCGCTTGCCTCGGCTTGCATTTGCTGCTAAGCAGGGGATCAAGACAGGCCTGTTCTCTGGAGACTGGGTCCCTGGTATATATGCAGAAATCTCGGCTTGTGAACTATAAATAGCTGTTACGTTGCAGGCGAAGAACCTCATGATTCTCAATTGACTTGGCACAGGGGTAAAGCATTGGACAGCCTCTTCCAAGTCTCCTTTCCCCGACCCCTTCCAGCCTAGGGCGCAGGGAAGCTGTGCCAGGGAAGGAGGCAAAGTTGGGGTCACAGAGGTTCAAAGTCTCATCTTCCGCTTTGCAGGGGTAGAAACTCAATTCTGTTGGCTCATCTGGGAGAGATCAAACCCTGGTAAATTGTGTTGCTCTGACTAAACTCACAGGAGCCTGTTTTATGACTAGAATGGCAATTCATTAATTTAGAGTGAAAAATATAACTGACAAGCAGAGCAGCTGTTTGTGTTGGCTGGTGAGCACATGCTTGCTTGCGAGTTAAGATTAGAAGGTTTCTTGGTAAAAATGGAATCGGAAGAAAAGAGCCCAGTAGTATTAGGGGAGACCTGCCTCCTCTTTCTGTGCTTGCTCGCACACCCTCACTGTCACACTGTCTCACATATACTGTCTGACAGACAGTCAAACTGACAATCACACTTCTTTCCCTCCTTTTGACCAATAGACCCATTTAGCCAACCCGTGAATTTCCTCCCACTCCTGCGTCTCCCTCACCGCCCAACCCCATACACCCACCTGGTTGGCGACTATGTCCCTTCATCTTCACCCCCTAATAATCTTTCAAACCAGGGCTCTGCTTCTCTGCTGCCAGTCTCTTAAATGAGGTTCTCATCATTTCTTCCTGGAATGTTGCAATAGCCTCCTGTGTTCATTCTTTATTGCCACTGTAACAAATTACTGTGAACTGAGTGGCTTAAAATAACACAAATTCATTATCTCACAGTTCTGGAGGTCAGAAATCCGATGGTTCTCCCTGGGCTAAAATCGAGCAGGGCTGTGTCCCTTTTGGAGGCTGCAGGGGAGAATCCATTTCCTTGCCTTTTCCGGTTCCCAGAGGCCACCTGCTTTCCTTCGCTTGCGCCCTTTCCTCCATCTTCAGAGCCAGCAACGTTGCATCTCTGATCATTCTTTCCTAGTCACGTCCACCTCTGAGCACAGCCGGGAAAGGTTCTCCACTTAAGGATTCGTTTGGTTACATTGGGCCCCCCTGGATAAGCCAGGCTAATCTTCCCATCTGAAAGTCCGTAACTTAATAACTCCACAAAGTCCCATTTGCCATATGAGGCAACATATTCACAGGTACTGGAGACTAGGACAAGGACGTTTTGGGGGGATATTCTGCCAACCATACATCCTAACTGGTTCCCCTGCCTCCTGTCCCTCATCTCACAACTCCATTGTCCACATAACTTCTAGAAGCCTTTTTAAAATGGAAAGCTATTCATTTTATTCCCCCTTGATCCTTTAATGGCTGCTTATCACCTGCAAGATCAAGTCCAAACTCCATTATACAATGTTTAACACCCTTCTTGATCTTGATCCTTCCTCCTTTCCAGCCACTTCTCTACAAGCATTCAGTGCTCTTGATCTCAGTACCCAAAGTGTGGTCTGTGGACCAGCATTATCAGCAGCACCTGGGAGCTTGTTAGAAATGAAGAATCTCAAGCCCTACCCAGACCTCCTAAATAAAAATCGGCGTTTTTAACAAGATTCTCAATTTGAGAAGCAGTGCTGTTGACATTCCTAGCTTCTTATGTCTTTCCAAACATACTGCACTAGTCAAGATTTTTGGATGAACACTTAAACAGAAAGGAATTTATAGGAATTCGTAGAATTAACTAGAAGGCTAGGGAAAGATACTCAGAAATTGGGGAGGATCTGAGAAGCCTGGGTGGTAGTGACAGCTAAGCTCATGCCACAGGACAGGTCTGGTTAGGAAGCTGCTACCGATGTTACCACCATGGACAGTCGCTGCCAGCTGCCCATACCTTTGGGGCATTCCCTGTGTCCTGTATACATGTGTCCCGGATAGGGGCCTTTGATTTTTCCAAGCCTAGATAACAGGCCTTGCCTCCCACAAAGACCCTCATGCGGGGAAACTCTCCCCAAAGTGGAAGGCTTTGGATGCTGGTAGTAAAAAAATTACATACACACATACATATATATATATATATATATATATATGAGACATATAGTTACTTCTTTGGCTACCCAACATCCACATCCTTTACCCAGATTTTGGCCTTTATAAAACCTTCCAACAAGAATTCTATACAACTCATTTACTTGCCAAATCCAAATTTCTTCAGCTGAGTTGAGCTCCAGGTCCAGTATCTCTGGCAAAGTCCTTGCCTCTTCTGGCTCTGATGGGATCCAACCTTAATATTCAGCACTCTAAAAATTAAATTGTGAAGTGAACCATCACTGATACACTCTATATATTATATTAGGGGGAGAAAGAGAATAAATAAAAATAAAATTTGTTAAAATATTTAAATCTATACATAACACAAAAAAGAAGAAATATGGATAGAAGCTACAGTCCTTAGTCATGCAAGTGGTCATGAGGTCATAGCTGGTATATATGTCTTTTGTTAAAAGATAATTTTTTAGAAAGGGTAAAACCATGACTCTTGTACAAATTAAAATTAACACGTGTCACATATTTTACTTAACTCACTAATTAATGAAGGAACCTGTAAGGTGCTAAAAAGCAGTTCAAAGGAGACTTCAAAGAACAGACATATTAAGCAATCAGGAATGATGAAATGAACTTGTTAATAGATATTCAGCTGATTTCTTAGGAAGGTGGGGAGATCAATTGTACTTCCATTGGACAAAATTCATTTGCATTGCAATCACTTTTCTATAACTTACAAAGTTGTAAAATAGCTCACAGTCATTGAAATACAAGATACCTGTAGAATCAAGATAATTCAGAAGGATGCTCAGGACGGGGCATCTAGCGTTCCACAGGACCCTCATTCCAAAGTCTTTCACAGTTTTTCCATTACTTCCCTCTTCTACCATCCAGTACATGCTCCCTCTGCCTTCTAACTAAAGTTAGAGCTTTAGTGAGTGGGATTCCTTTTCCAAGGGTGTGGCCCAAGTCTTCATTCCTGAGGAATCTGAGGCCTTAGTGACCTTGCCTCTGTAGGGTTGTAGTAGTGATCCATTGACTTTCACCTCTCAACAAGACAGGACTGGAGATGCCCCAGAGGATCCTTAACTTCCATCCACCCTCCTTCCTGCTACATTGTGTAGCAGCAAACCTGAGTTCCCCTTGATAATCAGGATCAGTCACCCCATCAAAGCCCATAAGTCCCTTTATTATCTATTTCCTAGTGGTGTGGTGGCCCCAAAATAGCCAGGTGAAAATCTAGTCTCTGCTTCTGCTTCATTGGAACCATTTTGTATCCCTGGTGGAAGTATCTGCCCCTCAGATACTAAAATTATTAAGGAGCAGAGCTCAGAAGTTTGGGATTGAGAAGCAAAAATGTGAGTCAGTTAGGGGCCGGCCTGGTGTTTTAGTGGTTAAGTGCATGTGCTTTGCTGCGGCGGGCCCGGGGTTCACAGGTTCGGATCCCGGCACGCACCGATGCACTGCCTGTTAAGCCATGCTGTGGCAGCATCCCATATAAAAGTAGAGGAAGATGGGCACAGATGTGAGCTCAGGGCCAATCTTCCTCACACACACACAAAAAAAATGTGAGTCAGACCAGTGAGTCTCAAACTTTTACATGCATATGAATGAAAAGAGAATTTCATTAAAATGCAGATTCTGATCCATTAGGTCTGGGGTAAGGCCTGGGATTCTGTATTTCTAACAAGTTCCTAGATGATTCTGATGGTGCTAGTCAAGCACAGGCCATAAATATCTGTATTCTGTGGGTCCATTCACATCATTCCAAACTGTGATCACACCTCAACACCAGTCTCTCATCTTGTCCCTTCCAAGTGCCTCATCATCTAGCCAAATCCTCACTTGGTGATTTGTTTTAATCAGGTATGGTGTGGCATGCAGACACAGAAATGACTGTCACGAAGGAAGAAGTTTTTACTCCCAGTTCCCTAGAAGTAGGAGGCATAGCATGCCGTGCAGGGCCATGTGGGGGAGCACCAGGGCTGGTCAGGAGTCAGAGGGAGAGCAAGTGGAAAACACAGGCAACAACCCTTATTGTGGTTTCTGCAGGGAAGTCAAGGTGAGGCAGAGTAAGCAGGCTTAGGATTGGCTGGTTTGAATAATTACAGGAGGCTCTGGAATATGGGGTCTGCCGTTGGTTGTCTGGTACCTGGCCCTGGGGTGGTTAGGGCAGGGGAATATTGGCTCAACCTGTGAGAGCTCCATAAAGGAGGTAGTTTGGAGTATGGGCCCTAGATTGGTCAGTCTACATACAAAAGGTGCCCTGCACTGGGGTGGGTGGGGGTGCTGGGCAAGTCTTTTGCTCTCTAGGAATTGGCTAGTCCTGGGAGGGGCAATCTCTCCCCAAGTCAGTGAGGCCCCAGATGCCAGAGTATCAAGAATATAGAAAATAAGAAAATACAGTTAATATACTTGGTGACAGTGTAAACCCATTACCTTAGAATATTTCTCCTTCCAGGCTAAGTGATCTGCTCAAAGTTCTGCCTGCAGGGGAATTTCACTTCCTGACTCTCTCAGGGCCACCCCTGACTATATATCCGTCCACTGTGAGCTCATGCCAGCAGATGGTGCAGACTCATCTGTAAACCAGGCTCAAATTTTTTCTTTCTCAGTCGTTTGGCATAGGGAATTCCCTGTGAGGCTGAAGCAGAGCCCAAATGCAAGAGGTAGTGTGAAAGGCTCAAGAAATATTAGTGTGACTGGTGTAGGGGAAGGTCTCAGTAGGGTGAGGCTAAAGAGCTGGCTAAGCCTGCTGCCTCCACAGCCCATGGGGGAGGCTGCCAGGAGCCCTGGGGGCAGGGTGTGATGGCCGTGGGGTCTCAGCCTGTCTCTGTGGCTCCTGGAAGGTCTCCAGGCTCTGCTTCCCACCCTCTTGCTATGACCTAGGGTCACAGCTTCTCTCCAATCTCCTCACTCCTGGATCCTGCCCCTGATCAGTCCAGAGGGATTCCCCAGTCCTGCTGTCGACTGTCCATTCCAGAATTGCTCCTGGTCATTACTTCTCAAATCAGCCATAGCTCCCTCTCTCTGTTCGGGATGCCGGCCCGCCCGGGCTCCCCTTCATCTTGCAGGGAGTTTTGGATAGAATCCCTCGAACCAGGCAAGTTCTATTTCAAACCTTAGAAAAAATAACCTTCATTTGGTTTCTCTGTGGCATGATGGGGAAAACTATTTCCTGGTAATTTATTTATGGTTTCCGTCTCTGCGTCACCAGTATTCCATTTACCTTGTTAGGCTCAGTGAATCATTCTCAGACCCTTCTTTCTGCATGAAGGTGTTTTAAAGTGAAGGAGCGCATGATGGAAACTTCTTTAGGCTAACACTTCAAGCCCCCTCTCTGTGGTGGCTCCCTCATCTTTGTTCGTAGCCCCAGTCTGTCTCCTGAGATTTGGTCTTGCCTTTCCAGAGGCCTGTTGGGCATTCTTGGATGTCCTCCTGGACCCTTAGACTGCCCTTGGCTTCATGGAGCTCAACCTCCTATCCCTAAACTTTCTTGCTGGAGTGAGTGGCTCCGTATCGCACCATGCCCTGACTTCAGCAGGCCTCTTTCCCCCATGCTGTCCATTCAGCAGGCACTCATGGGGAGCATCTGTTACCTTGCAAGCTGTCTAATTCTGTCTTTTCTTCTCAAAAAGCCACTTAGACCAGTATTTCCCAAAGTATATTTCTTCTCAACCTTTTTGAAACCATCCTTTCTTTCCCATTCACAATGCCAACATTCTAATCCAGTCATTCAAAACATATTCGTTGAGTGCCTCTCTGTTTTGGGGCTGTTTTTGGGTACTAGAGATAAAATGATGCAAGAAGAACTGGTCTCCACTCTCAGGGAGCTTACAATCTAGTAAGAAAAGCATAGGAATAAACAGGTACTTTCACAGCAGAGTGGTAAGTGTTATGATAGGGAGCATGTATGACACCGTGGGACAAAGCAAGGAGAAATTTACCCAAACTTTGGATACCTCCTGGAGGAAATGACGTTTAGGCTGAGATCTGAGGGCTGAAGTCTGGAGGCAAAAGAAGATGCATTGTTCAGGGAACTGAACGAGGTTCTGGAATGAAATTATAACTGGGGTGAAAAATTCAAGAAAGTATGGGTGGGGAGGAGAGCTTTTTATGGAGATAATTAGGGTCTAGTTCATGCAAGGACTTGTAAGCCAATTTAAGGAATTTGGGCTTTATTTCAACAACAATAAGGAACTATCAAAAACCTTAAGATAGGAAGGAAAATCATCAAATTTGGATTTAAGAAGATCTCTATGACTGGAATATGGAGGACAGATTGGGAAGTATGTTACAAAGTAGAAACCCCGGTGAGAACAGTACTGATGTAATGGATGCAGTGCACTGAGTAAGTAGGGGGTGAGAAAGCAGATACTGCAAGTATAGATGACTCACTGGAGACATTTGTGAGCTAAGGGTTGTGTCAAGGAAGGGATTTTTTTGTTGTTGTTGTCGTTGACCTTTGTTTTAATTGAAGATACTAGAGCATGTTTTGAATACTAAGAAGAAAAAGCCTGTAGAGAGGGAATTCAGGCTCTGGCTGTGTGTCTGGATGGATACCAGTGTTGGGAATTCCTGGATCCTGGGCCTTAGCATGCCATGGACTTTACAACTGGACAGAACCTTATTTGCCCCCTGCTAAGGAGCCTGTTCTGCTGATGATAACCTTGGCAGCATGTGGAAATTCCCAAATGTTTACCAAGCTCCTCTAACTTGGCAGGACTTGAACCCCAAACCCTGTTTCTCCTACAGTGGGAAGAAACTGAATCTCTGCTCAACTCTTTCAGCTTTCCAGCTGTTTTTTTACTCAGCCACCTTGGAGTATCACCTGATTTTGTGCAACTTAGGGGCCAGCCAAGGATTTGACGGAATTTTATATGTGGATTTTGGGGCCTGCCTCCTCATGGCTTCCCACTTTCTGGGGTTTTTTTTCCTCTTAATTTCCAGCATCTCTAGCAGTCTCAAACTTCATTCTCCAATTCCTCAGGCAACTAAGACTGTGAGTTTCTTCTTGAGTTCTATCTGCCTCATGATTTGCAGGTGGGGAGTCCCCCCAGCATATCAACATACATCTATCCTGGTGTGGTTCCCTTATTTCAAGAGTTGAATCCCTTCTAGTTTCTGCCAGCTTTTGATAGCTTTCCTAGTACCTTAAAATAGTTGTTTTTAAATATTTTGTTCAGAGTTTATTATTATTGGCAAGAAGGTTAGTCCAATATAAGCTATTCCACCAGAAGCCAGAAGGAGCAGACTAAGGAATTTGGACTTTATTCTGCGGGTTGGAAGATTTTAAATTGGGGAGTAGTCTGATGAGTTCGTGCTTTTGGGAGATTAGGATGGGGGTGGTTTGTAGGATGGGTTGGTGAGGGGAAAGCCCAGAGACAAATTAGGAGACTCTTGAGTAGTTTCAGGAGAGAGGGGACCAAGGCGTCAATTGGGGAGAGAGGCAGTGAAAATGGAAAAGAATGGTCACGGGGGAGAGATTTAAAAAAAGATCCAGTTTCTGTGAGGGGCTGTGGGGCTTTCCCACAGGAAAAGGTTCTTAAGTGACTAGTGAGGATTACCACCATTCCATCCCAGAGAGCCTGGCCTGGTTAAAATTCGTTCCAGGATGTCTCTGTGAAGGCCTGGAGAGTTTACTCACCTAGTTTTGTCTTGGACAAATGACCTGGCTGAATCCTGAGTCATTCCTGGTCTGAGGGTCTCCTTGGATCACCTGAGGGCTATTGAAGGTCACCCATGGTCTACTTTGACCTTGAGCCTAGGTCAGTTGTGGAAACAGCCTATTTACCTCCAGCCCCAAGGTTTAGGGTATGACTGGACATGAGCTGGGGAAGCATAGGGAGAAGGGGTTACCAGTGCAGGATACACTGCCTGGACTTGCCTCAGCATCCACCGCCTCCCCATGCATCCTGTGCTTCTTGATGTTGGGCCTTGACCTTTTGATTTATCCTTGACCTTTTCTACCAGCTTTGTTGCTTTCTCTTTCAACAGGTCAAATGGATGATGTACTGGATTATATTTGCACTTTTCACCACAGCAGAGACATTCACCGACATCTTCCTTTGTTGGTAAGTTCTGCAGGAATTGGGACATTTCAAGGGAAGACGTCTGGTGTTGGGGGACAGATGGGAAAGATCTGAAAGCAGTCTCAAATCTTACTTCAGAACAGAGGAGCAGGTGCAGAGATGCTAACTGGAACACTTTTAATAAATTAGTCTATAAAGTTGTTCTTCAAGTCAATATCTATTGAATAACTTTGTAAGAGCAGGTATTGTTCTTATAGTATAATGATATGACAATGGACAAGATAAACAGTTCCTCAGTTAATGGAGTTGGTAAAGAAGCATTCATATATTAAAAAAAAAGGGAAAGGGGTTGGCCCGGTGGCGCAGCGGTCAAGTGCACACACTCTGTTTCGGCAGCCCAGGGTTTGCAGGTTCGGATCCCGGGCGTGCACCGATGCACTGCTTGTCAAGCCATGGTGTGGTGGCGTCCCATGTAAAGTAGAGGAAGATGGGCATGGATGTTAGCCCAGGGCCAATCTTCCTCAGCAAAAAGGAGGAGGATTGGCATCAGATGTTAGCTCAGGGCTAATCTTCCTCACAAAAAAAAAAGAAAAGAAAGAAACAGTACACAAAAGTGTATGACAAAACTGTTTCCCTCCCACACCATTCACTCTCACCATAACTACTATTCAGAGTTGTATATACTTTTAAAAAATTTATGGGTGTGTATATATACACACATTTTTTCTTTTTTTAACAGTTCTCACTTTGTTTATTAAATTCATTTTTGAAATGCTTTCATATAAACATAAATAGATCTACCTATTTTTTTAATGGCCACGTAGAATTTCTTGGTATAGATGGACCGTAATTTAACCAATCCCTTTTTGATAGACATTTGTTTTTCTCTTTTAAACAAAGCAGCTATTACAGCAATGGAGCAAGTAAAAATCATAAGCTAGGTCTGTGTATCCTTGTAGGTGAAAAAGCTATGAATAATATATGGTATCCTGTTTATATTTAAAAGGCCTGAGTTTGTGCACATGTGAATGTATACTAAAAGTAGTGTGGAAAATCCCCATCAGTTAACCAGGGTTATTTCCACAACTTGGGATCGTGGGGTTGGTTTTGCATTTACTGTGTTGTATGAATGTTTTACCTTGATCAAATCTCATCAGAGCAAATCATAAAAATATTTCCATTTTGGAGAAAAAAGTCCTGACCCAGAAAGGATCAGTATGAACTTACCCTCCAGGATGTCCTAGGCCAAGGACCAGACCTGACCACCACTTCTCTGAATCTTGTTTTGGGTCAATGGCCTTAATGACCTTAGTATGTAATTTTACCCCTGAAGGAGCCTGGCTTTCATCTCCACTGGGAGAAATAGATGTCTCAGCCGTTGCAGCCTTAAGCTGTAGGGAGGGAATCTGGATTACCTAATTTAATATGCTTGTGCCATCCTGCAGTACCGTGTGCTCAGATAAATAACAGACTCAGGACAGGGCTGAGTCTCCAGGAGTGGAGACGGAAACTTGCTGAGCTGTCCTTTGTCTTCCCCAGGCCCCAGGGGCTGGCACTAGGAGTCAGACCCTATTTTGTGGAGAGCTACAGTAGGGGGCTCCTGTCTCTCCCTGGAGATGAGAGTAACAGGCCAGGCCCAGTGAGGATTGTGCAGTCGATTAAACACCATGGCCAGCACCTCATGTCCTCCTGTCTTCCCTGTTAACGGTGTCCTCTGTCTGTTGCTGGGTGGCCTCCTGCTGTCCTCCCCTCCCTTCTCATGAACGTCGGGGGGAGTAGTGTTAGTTTTATGAGCTCTCTCCCAGGGGTATCAGCATTTCAGCCTCGCTGCTTTTGGCTAAGTGGAAATACTGTCTAACGATGGATGTGCCCCTGCCTGGTAGCTGGAATATGTCCTTACCTGTGGCCCTGGAATGTTAGAGTTTCATAACTAATCAGTGCTCAACAACCATTTCTGGAGTTGATTTGATTTTGATTTTGGGAGGTGAATTAGTTAACTATTGCTTCTGTAACAAATTGCCACAAATTTAGCAGGTTAAAACCACAGAAATTTATTATTTCGGTTTCTGTGAATCAGAAGTCAGCTGGAATCAACTCAGTCCCCTGCTCAGGGCCTCACAAGGCCAAAGTCAGAGTTTGGGCTGGCCTGGGCTCTTGTCCTGAGGCTCTGGGGGAGATTCACTTTCCGGCTCATTCAGGTTGTTGGCAGAATTCAGTTCCTTGTGCTGTGAGACTGAGGCCCCCATTTCCCTGACGTGCACTGCCCCCCTTCCTCTTCAAGTGAACAACGGCATGTAGAATCCTTCTCAGGCTTTGAATCTCTGTCTTCTGCTACCAGCAGAGCAAGATCTCTGCTTTTACTTTTAAGGGATCGTGTTATTAGATTAGGCCTACCCCAATAATCCGATATAATCTCCCTATTTTAAAATCAGATGATTAATAATCTTAATTTCATCTGCAAAATCCCTTTTGCCATGTTAAGAGAACATATTTATGGGAGTAACACCAGGACAAGAAGGTCATGGGACCACAATTCTGCCTACTGCAGGAGAGCATCTGATACCTGCTGTCGTTGGAGCATGTGCTCAGGTGTGGGTAGAAGCCTCCTCTCTTCCTGACCCACGTGGAGGCCTCGTCTGGTCCCTCTCAGCTGGAGCTGTCCAGGCAGTTTAAGTGGGAAGTGAGGGTCTCTTGCCCCTCTCCTGTTGCCCTGAGCTCCGCTTCTGCAGGGAAGGTGTTCCTTGGGAACCTTCCCAGCCTGCTTTAGCCCGTGACCTGGTCATGCCCTACTTTCTCTTTTTCTGCCAACCTCCAAATATTACAGATCATAGTCTTCTCTTGGGAGAGTCCTCCATCTCCCTCCCTGGAAATGGGCACAGGACAGGCCCATCAGACAGACAGAGCCCTGTTTCCCTTCCAGGGACATGGACACCAGCTCAGCAGCTCTGAGCTCTCTTTACAATCAAAAAAAGAGAGGTGTCTGTCCTAAACTGGACCTTCTGGCTTCCTAGAAGCATCTTTAACTTTTGTTCACTTCCAGGATTGGAGATCACCCTTCATGTTTATATTCTTTCTTTCACTCTTCCCTCATCCCTTTCCCCTCTTCCCACCCCTCCCCTAGGGCAGTGCCCTCTTCATAGTTTAACTTTTTAAAACTTTCTATCTTGATGAAAACAGCAATTATGTATGGTCACAGAAGAGAGAGGATGGTGGCTTGGTTCACAATTTGTGTAGATGATTTCATTTAGTTTTTAAAAAATTATAAAATACTGCATGCATGTGGCAAAATAAAGTGAAACACACTAAAAAGTGCGTCTCTCCTCCCCTGGCCCTCAGTCTCTCTCCCCAGAGGTACCTCTATTAGAAGTTACTTGTGTTTTCTTTCAGAATCTTCTATACACATTAATTGCCTGTATTTTTGACAATTTCATCACTCGGTCCAATCCTCTTAGAAAACATTTACCCCTCCAGGGTGTGAAGAGGTTCTATGGGAAGGGTGGGGAGGCGACAGCTGCCCCATGCAGCCTAGTGCTGTGCATATGCCTTTGGAGCTATGGAGGAAATGTGATGGGTGCAGCTGGCCTTTTCTCCTCAGATACATCCTAGAGGTCAGGATGATTCAAGGGCTTATCCACACGGAATGAGCAGGGTTCTTCTCCACTTCTCGGGTGAAGGCTGGGATGCTGGTAGGTCGGCTGGGAGCAGACTTGTTTGGTTGGTGGTGATTGTGTTGGTACAGCCAAGAGACCCCAAGGCCAGTAGGAAACACAGGTTCTGAGTGGCTCAACCTGGAGACCCTCATGATACCTGGCAAGGGCTTGGTCGTGGTGCAATGATTCTGGGGGCAGTGTGAGGTAATATCCAAAGTATCCTGTTAGTTGTGTGTGTGGTGAGGGGAAGCAGGTGTAGGAGGGGAGTGTAGAATGCCACTGTGTGTGTAGGGGGGTGTTAACGGAGTCATTTATACCCACATGATTGTGTATCTTGGCCCTAGTCTACTTCTGGAAGGATACACAAGAAACTGGTAATGTTTTTGCTTTTGGAAAAGGAACTAGGGGTCTGGGATGGGAAGGAGACTCTTTGTTGTACACTCTTTTGGACATTTAGAATTTTTAAAACTATATGCATGCATTACCTCTTTAAAAAATACATTTTTTTACATAATAAACAACACAGCTGCAGTGCAACAGATCCCCTTGGGATTATCTGCATATCTTGTGTTGAGGCCTGAGCTTGCCAGATTCGTTTGCTTTCCCCTTGGGGCTGGAAAATACTTGTTTTCAAGACAAAATTTCCTCCATTATTAATCACTAGAGTGTTGAACTGTGGGAGAATCACTCCTCTGTTCCATCCCCTTCTCTGTTCTGGCCGTGAAACATTAAACAACCTTAACATGAAAGTGTCCTCTAGGTGCTGAGGGAATATTCAGGAAGAGCCTGCCAGAGACAGAAGGCAGTGGACCAGGAGACCTTGCTGAGGAAAGAAGGAGTGGGTGGAGCTGCTGATTTGGGGGTCTGTGTGGGAGTTAAAGGGCTTGAGATGACTTGCTAGCAATTGCACTGTATTTTCAGCTTCCTTATCTGGGGAGAATTGACTTTTCTGATTCCTCAGCCTAGCACTGGTGTCATTTGCCCTCAGAGCATCATGTTTTAAGGGCATCCAGGATTTGTTTTAATCAGGTCTGGGAAGACACACAGACATGGAAATGACTGTCATGAGGGAAGAAGTTCATTATTCTCACAGATCCCTAGAAACAGAAGGAACAGCGCTCCACGCAGGGCCGCACGGGGAAGCACTGAGGTCGATCAGGTGGCAGAGGTAGGAAATGTGGGCAAGCCTTTATTGTGGTTTCCATGGAAGGAACAGGCAAGGCAGGGGAAGCAGGCTTAGGATTGGCTAGTCTCAATAATTTAGTGGGCTCTAGGGTGTAGGGGTGTCCCTAGTTGTCTAGCACCTGGCCCTGGGGTGATTTAGGGCAGGGGGACAGTGGCCCAGAGTATGAGAGCTCCATAAAGGAGATAGTTGGGGATATGGGCTCTGGGTTGGTTGGTGTGCATATGAAAGGCTTGCTTGCAGGTGAGTTGTTCACTATCTTTAGGAATGGGCTAACCCTGGGAGAGGCAGTCTCTCCAAAGTCAGCAAGTCCCTAAGATGTCAAAGCATCACAATACAGAAAATAAAAAGACAAGGTTAATACCCATCAGGACTGGGCCGGCCCAGTGGTGCAAGCAGTTAAGTGTGTGTGCTCCGCTGCGGCGGCCCGGGGTTCGCCGGTTCGGATCCCGGGTGCACACCGATGCACCGCTTGTTAAGCCATGCTGTGGCGGTGTCCCATATAAAGTAGAGGAAGATGGGCACGGATGTTAGCCCATGGCCAGTCTTCCTCAGCGAAAAAAAGAGGAGGATTGGCATCAGATGTTAGCTCAGGGCTGGTCTTCCTCACAAAAAAAAAAAAAAAAAAACATACACATCAGGACTGCCAAATATGGTTGCACAGGTTGTTCATAGCACAAGATATCTGGCCAAGGAGGCCAGATGAAGACCTGTTTGCAAGTCTTGTGCCTACAGGACTGCATCCAGTTGAAGGGCTAGCTTTTTTTAACATGCACAAAGGTACCACATGGATTAGCAGAGGCCCATTATGGCATTTGTCTCGGTTGCTATTCTCATTATTTATAATTATTTGATCAATCTCTGTTTCCCTGACTGGACTATCAGTTCCAAGGATCCCAGAATCTTGTCTGTTTCCCACTAGACAGGAAGCTCCAAGAGAGCAGGGAGTGGGTCTTCTTTGCTCACCATTGTCTCCTCAATCTCAGCACAAGCTGCACGATTGGGTGCTAGGTAAGTGTTTATGGAACGAATAAACGAATGGTGTGCAGGGCTTCAAACTCCAGAATTATATGTACCTTCACCCCAAACTCTTCTTTCTTTTGGCACCAAAAAGGTTAGGTGGCATCTCTTCCCTGGCAAGAGTTAGGCCCCCATCCCTGCCTCTTTTGGGGATAAGAAGACGGCCGAGAAGGTGAGGCTTTTATTCCCAGTATGGAGGTTCTTTGTCAGCTCCGCCCTGCTGTAAATCCTCCAGCTGCTTGTGCCTTCTTGGCCGTGAGTAATGAGTGAATGACTGGGTATCTGACAGGAACATGGCCTTCTGAGCCTGCAGGCTGCAGGTGGAGCCCTGGCTCCCCGCTAAATGAGCGTGGCCTGCAGGAAGTGCCAGCTGTTGCCAGGCATGGCCTAAGGGTGATTGCTGGAGAGAACCTGGGCTCCTGAATTGCTTGGGCAACAAAAGAAAACATGAACTGGCTTTCAGAAGAGGCCCTGGGTTTGTGCTGTAAGTGTGTACACACCTTCATGGATGAAGAAAGGAGGAATCAGGGGGCCTTGCAGCCCTGCGCAGGCAGGAGAGGTGTCTGTCGCCGGGTCCCATCCTTCACAGGCCCAGGGCAGCGTTGCCGAGAACGTAATGGAACGTGTGTTTTCGCATTTCTCTCCAGGTTTCCATTCTATTATGAACTAAAAATAGCGTTTGTAGCCTGGCTGCTGTCTCCCTACACAAAAGGCTCCAGCCTCCTGTACAGGAAGTTTGTACATCCCACGCTGTCTTCAAAAGAAAAGGTAATTTATGCTGCTCTGCCTTTTACTCCTTCCAGCCAGCGAAAAATTTAAAAGTGATAAAGAAAAAGGGCATGCAGAAATAGAAGTGTAATGATGTACACCTGAAATGTATACAATGTTATAAACCAATGTTACTGTAATAAAAAAAAAAGAAAGGGCAGATTATTTTATTGCAGGAGACCTTCGATTGGCTCTAATTTGCCCCCAACAAGTTGTTCCTTCTAATCTTGTTTTTAATCTATTTTTCTGATATGTTTAGAAATAGTGGTGAAATTCTCTAAAATATGTTATCATCATTTATTATATAATGTTTCCATAAGTTGAAACAAAAGTAGGAGAAGATTCACTCATACTTCAGTCACCAAACTGAATTTCCTTTCTTTTATCGTGCTCCGCCCCTGTCCTTTGGCAGATATGATTTTTACATCAATTACTTAAGAAAATACCTTTAAAACTTAACATAGGTAGGGAAACTGAAGCATAGAGAGATTAAATGACTTAAACTTGTACCCAGATAGCTGCTAACAGAGACTGGAATATAATAAATTTCTAGTACAATGTTTTTTATTTTATCATTGAACTTGATTGTTCAATGATAAAATGTATGCTACCAATGAAATGCCTGCCACTGTGGTAATTTTCCATCAATAAGTGTTAATGAGAATAGTCGTAATGATTTGTTTCATGCCAATTTACTATTTGTGTTTGCTTTGCCTCAGAGTACTTCACAAACATCCTTGAAATGAAAATGTAGATTTGTCTAATGTTAGAGATGGAAGAAGTCAGACAGGGAGAAGTTCAGGAAAGGACCAGCAATAACTAACGATTCAAGTAGGAATTAAAGCTTGTATCTCTTGAAAAGAAATTTAATTCTAAGCTACTTATAAGATAATGTCACTGTCTATAAAATTAGTTTTTGTGTAACATCTCCACTGAACCTAATTTACCAGATTTTTTTTCAATGGATTGTTCTATTGTTTTGTTAAGGTTTCATACAATAATAAATGCAAAGACAATTAACATAAACATTACCCCTGTCTTACTAGTTTGTTTGATAACTTCTTTTTTTATGCATACCAGTCTATGTAACTTTTCTGTAAAATACAATTTTAAGTGCACCCAAAAAACCCAAAAACAACAACAAAAAACCTTAACATAGATACCACAGTTGTGTTCTGAGATCTTAAACTTGTTTGCACATAATCCATCTCTACTCGGTCTTCATAATGACCCACAAACACCCACCATGCGTGGAGTTTAGTTCCTTCTTTTTTTTTTTTTTTTTTTTTAAGTTTTTTTTTTTTTTTTTTTTCATCGCTAACCCAGACTTTCTCTTGGCTAAGATCTGCTGGGAGAGTTGACTCTGACCATAGATTTTCTTCTCCTTATGCTGACTCTTACAGATCCTAGAAGTTAGTTGTTAGTTACTTTTTTTTTTTTTTTTTG